CCGTGAACAAAAGACCTTTTCTCGTTCCCCCGTTTGTTGTCTTTCACTTTTAATTGCTAAAGACCAGGAGAGCTTCATCTGTTAAAAAAGGAGATGCCATAATAATTGCAGCAAATGTGGTTTAAGGAAAGTACAGTACAGTATTCGCCACGCATTTTCTTTTGAGTACATCAGCGATTCGGTATCGCACTGAATTTTGCTTGTCTGTTTAACAGAGCCTGCTCCATTTTTGAGCTGCAAAACCTTTCGAAACCAGAGTTTCCGTACCGAAAATTAAGTCCCACCGCATTATTAATTTCTGATCGGAACTCCAGAAAAAAAATACCTAAAAGAGAACACTCAATGTCCTCATTGATGGAAAGTGTCGCTTGTGCTACTTAGTTCAATTAAAGAAGCGATGAGTTCACGATTATCGGGCGAAGCCTCTCCTTTTCTTCCTGGCCGAGAAGCAGACCTTCCAAAGTATCATATGCAGGGTTTTGCGTAACAATTTATTAAAAGGATCATTTGCTGTTTTCGGCTAAAAACGGAAGTTTGCGAGCTTGCAGGCAGAAAGAGCGGGAAGAGGTTGAGTTTCCTCGCTTCTGGCAGACTCGTCTTGCTAGCCCTGAACGTGAAAACCGGGTCCTCGGAAGTCCACCGTCCCCCCGCTCGATCCCGCCTGCAAGGAGCTGGATCGGTGCGAGGGATCTCGATTAACGGGGCGCTTCGTGCAGGCGAAGAAACACAAAAAGTTTGCAAAGCCCGGGAGCCCCGCTCGGGCTGTCAGAACGACCTGCGCCGAACCAGCCAATCAGAGCGCGGCTCCTCCCCTATAAATAGCCGCTCCCGGCGCTCGCTCGCGTTCATTTCGCAGTTGCCAGTGAGAGGAGAGGATTCTGAGCAGCGATGACTGAAGTAGCGCCAGTTGCGCCGGTGGCGGAAGCTGTTGCCGCGAAACCCCCGGCTAAGAAGGCGGCAGCCAAGGCGCGCAAGCCGTCGGGCCCGAGCGTGACGGAGCTGCTGACCCAGGCGAGCGGTGGCTGCCTCTAAGGAGCGCAAGGGCATCTCGCTGGCTGCCCTGAAGAAAGCCTTAGCCGCCGGAGGCTACGACGTGGAGAAGAACAACAGCCGCATCAAGCTGGGCCTCAAGAGCCTGGTGGGCAAGGGCACCCTGGTGCAGACCAAGGGCACCGGCGCCTCGGGCTCCTTCCGCCTCAACAAGAAGCAGGCCGAGGGCGGCAAGGACAAGGCGGCAGGAGCGGGGGCGGCCAAGAAGAAGAAGCCCGCGGGGCCCGTTGCGGCCAAAGGCAAGAAGCCCGCCGCCAAGAAGCCGGCTTCGGCCGCCGCCAAGAAAGCCAAGAAGCCCGCCGCCGGAGGGGCCAAGAAGGGCGCCAAGGCGGCCAAGAAGCCCGCCGCCGGAGGGGCCAAGAAGGCGGCCAAGAGTCCCCAAAAGTCTAAAGTGACCAAGCCCAAGAAGACCACCCGGAGCCCCGCCAAAGCCTTGAAGCCGAAAGTGAAAGCCAAGCCTAAGGTCTCTAAGGTTAAAGTCGCCCCGAAGAAAAAGTGAAGCCCCCACCCCCAAAGGGCGCGCAACTTTTCCCCATCACCCCAAACGGCTCTTTTAAGAGCCACCCAAGCATTCCCGGGAAGAGCTGCTGTCATTCCCTTGGGACATGGTCTGGGTTGGTGCGGCTTCAGAGGCCGAGCCTGACTAGCCCCCCGCCCCGTCTTCTCTGCCTTAGACTTAAAAACTAAAGGCTGGTTTCGTCCCTCGGGTCAGGGGTTTCTAAGTAGATTCGGAGTGGTGCCAACAGATCGGGGTTTGTACGAAGGAAAAAAGCTGAAGCTGGAAAATAAGGGGTCCATATTTTTTTCCGTTGGTTACCGTTTCATGTCTGCAGCATCATTAGCTGTTTCTGCCTTAGCAGCTTTTACCGCATTGCTGTTTATTCGCGCCACGTTATCTTGGCGTGGGTTGGAAATGTTTATTTTTCTTGCTCGATTTGTCTGGTTTTAATGTGTCAACCGCGGAGAAAAGGTGAAAACAATTTCCTCATATTACGGTGCAAGTGGCTGTGAGCCTGAAGGGCTTTGGAGGGTTGTCGTAGAGGGGGGTATCTTCTGTATCAATGTATTGTGCATCAGTAACGGATACAATACATTGCAATGGAAAGGAAGGGAACAAGTGTGGAGAGGTGAAAGCTTGTGCTTTGTTCAGATCCTATTGATTTCCTTGCACTTTAAAAGTAGAGCATTATGCTCCCTTTTCTCAACTATTTGCTCGACGAGGATGGGATTCGAACCCACGCGTGCAGAGCACAATGGATTAGCAGTCCATCGCCTTAACCACTCGGCCACCTCGTCTCCTATTAGGGAGCGAATAAATTTCGTCTGCTGGACTACTTTTATTTAAGGAATATTTGCAACGTGAGATAGTATTTTAACAACTTGACGACACAGGTTATTATGATGATCATCATCATCGCCACCGCCGCCTCCATCAGCACCACAAACCATAAGATCCATAAGTCTAGTCCCTGCCAAATAAATGAAAATGACGGAACTTTCTTTGCTTCTGTTTCTTTTATTGCTTGCAAAACAAAGTACAGTAATGTAAAGAATAACTATGCCTTGGGTCGTTTTTAAGGAGAAAGGCGGGATAAAAAATAATTTTAATAAATAATACATGTTTATAAATATTATACATATAAATTATAAAATAATATTTTAATAATAAATTATAAAGACATATTATCCCTTTTCTTGCAAAAAAAGGATATCGTAGGATAAATTCTTGACTTAAAAGGGGAAGATCTAATTCATTTCTGTACAAGGTCTTTTGGGGAGGGGGCAGGGTTGCATTGCTTGAAGAAATGACAGCTCAAAAAAAATGTTCCGCACCAATTCCCTCCGGGCCAAAACGTACAGTACTGCTCTGTGTGCACAGTGTGCTTCTGACGATGCTGAGTACTATTTCCATGTTAGGAAACTTTAAAAAAATAAATACATAAAAAAAAATCCAGAAAGAGAAATTTAAAATACAATCTGCCGAAACCCGGGATCGAACCAGGGACCTTTAGATCTTCAGTCTAACGCTCTCCCAACTGAGCTATTTCGGCTCTTGGGTGACCTACTTTTGAGACCTGTGTAATGAAAAAAAAAACCCCATAGCAGCCTTTTTTCACTTTCCCATCCATTGCCTTGCTTCCTGTCTATAAGATGACGCCAAGGCCTGTTTTTTTTCCCCCAGTAATGGAAATGCTGTAGGTTGTTGAAGACAAATTGAAACGAAGGCAATATGAATTGAAACGAAGAGGCAAAGAAATAAATAAAAACAAAAAACACCAGTTGCATTGGCCGGGAATCGAACCCGGGCCTCCCGCGTGGCAGGCGAGAATTCTACCACTGAACCACCAATGCGTTGGTACTTGACAATGTACCTCAAGCCTTTACATAGTTCGACATGGTTGTATTTCCATTTTAATTATTTTCCCCCAAATTCTCTCTCGAGCTTATTTTACCCAGGTAGCCTCGCTTTGTCGCTTTATCGCCATCATCCTTTTCAGATCAGTTCCCGGCTTCAGGAAATGAAAGGGCTTTCCAAGCTCTGCCCAAGGAAGGCGGGCCTTTCTTTCCAAAGGTCTCTCTGATCTTTAATCTCCAATTTCAGGCTTAAGTTTCAAAAAGCGAAGGGCGCGAATCTACTGCTCGATACCCCCTCTATTTACACTTCTCTCTCTCCACCCTTTAATCGAAGACTCCTCAAGGAAACAAGTATCATATGGCTAATGGCAGGGCACTCTGCACATGCTTAAAGGTGCTGGTTTCTTTGCAGTTATATTTCTCCTTCCACGTTGTAGCCCCTACACCCAGGCTTCCCAGTTGGGTTAAAACACACACACACACACACACACACACACACACACACACACACACACACACACACACAAATTCCTTTCCCCCCCTTTTTTCCCCTCTTTGTCCCTTTTTCAGGAACTTTGAGCACAAAAGTTGTATTTGCTAAATGGAAACTTTGATAAAGTTGACTCGCTTGGTGAGAGTGGAAATCTAAGCAGAAGATCCGCTGCCTTCTTCCCCACTTTTTAAACCGAGGGTTTGCACCCAACACGGAAATCTTTGGCTGCTACTTCTGTTCAGAGACCCCCCCCTAACGAGAGGTGAAGAGCTACTGTCGTTCCGACGTGAGTGTTGACACGTGTCTTGGAGAGCACCCCAGGACCAAAAGCGAGGTTCCACCGAGATTTGAACTCGGATCGCTGGATTCAAAGTCCAGAGTGCTAACCATTACACCATGGAACCGTCCGCAGTAAGCTCTCTCTTTCTTTCCTTTTTATTGCAACTGAATTACAAGACACGCCATTCAGACAATCGCCTTCGCTGAGTTTGCATTGCGAAAATCTAGCAGCAAAAGGAAACGCGGATCAACAGGTCCTTTTGTCTTTAAGATGCCACAACACTCTTACTTTAGGCACAACTTGTTTTCCTTTGCTTCTGTCGCTGGGAGGCTGGCAGCTTGTACTTAGTGTGAAATAATGAAATAATTTTAAAAAGCAAACTTTGTCTGCCGTGATCGTTAGGCAGAAGCATTTCCTGGAGTGCTCTGATCAGCTCTCTCCTCCCCCACACCCACCCCATGTATCCCTTGGGTTTTTAATGGAATAGCTGTTTAAATTCTTTTTTAAATATGGTAATGCTTTTTTTTCAAGCTTTTAATATTATAAGCTGCCCTGGGTCCTCTTCAGGAGAAACACAGAGTTTAAATGTTAAATCCCTGTTTAAATTCTTTTTTAAATATGGTAATACTTTTTTTAAAGCTTTTAATATGGTTTGTTTTAATATTGTAAGCTGCCCCGGGTCCTCTTCAGGAGAAACACAGGGTCTAAATGTTTTAAATCGACAATAACATGTGTGGAGACAGTCCTGTGTAAAGAACAGGTTTGAGAGATCCCTGCCCCAAGGAGCTTACAATGAGAAGTTGACATTGGTGAGAGAGCTAAGCACAGGAAATTAAATAAAAAAACTTACAGACAATCCACCGATACCACTTTTTTCCATTCAGGGAGCTGGGACTAACCTGTTTTACTATATCTGTCAACCGCCATCTGCCAGAGCACTGAAAGCCCACATGGAGTTATGCTCTTCCTACTGTTTTTGCCACTCCTGGGGTACTTTGAGATACACTGCCTCTATATGGGGAAGTTCTACTTGCTGAAGTTATCCACCCTCCATTTTTTGCTTGACCCACAAACCCATCGCCAACATTAAGGGGCTTAAGTTTTATTTTTCAACAAGGAGAAGACTCGGGCAGAACATCAGCTTCGGGGTGTCTCTCAGTGTCAGATGGAACCAGACCCCTTCCTTTGACAATCACAACGAAGCCCCTCGCTACTCTGCACAGATCACGGCAGGTGGTTTTGGTTCGCAGAGAAAGGACTGGGTCGGTCTTACAGGTGCTTTGTGTGCGGGAGTGAAAAGCTTGAAGGTTAGTAAGAACACATAACATATTCTGCAACGGGTGTCTTTATTAAAGACTGAGAATATTCCAAAAGTGGACTGTGATGGGGGAAAAAATACCTAGCAGAAAATCAGAACGCATAACAGGCTTTGTTACATATTCCTCTGAATAAAAAGCAGATTGGAAACAACCAGAACTTTAAACTGTCACCTTTCTGGACTACAGTTCCCACAGTGCACCACTGGCAAAGCCAATGACCACGCTGGCTAGAGGGCATATGGGTGTTGTGATCCAAAAAGTGAACTTTCCCCAGCTCTGCAGAAAGTACATTTCAAAGAATAGCTCAGAATATTAAAAGGCCTTGTTTTTCCCATAACAATTCCCTCAACCAGATGTTCTCCTGTGGATACTACATTTCCCAGCAGTCCCAGATCAACAAGGGCAGTTCCACAGCTGAGGGAGGTGTTCGGGCGAAAAAATCTGGAGGCTCAAGTCCTTCCCTTCTTCTCTGCAGGCGGGAATGGTTTCCTCGGCTGTTCTCATTCAGGTGGACCAACCACCAAAGTGAATGAAACGGGAGCAACAGGAATTGCAGGCTGGGGTTTGTGAAGATGAAAAAAGGAATCAGCCACTCCCAACAAATCCTACTTAGAAGACGGGTGTTAAAGATAATTAAGTTCCCTGGGGGGAAAAATGAATCCATCCTAAGGAAGAACAAGTTAAGCATTTGGCGGTCAGGATGCAATCCTATTATAAGGAGCAAAAATGCAACTTGGTGTTTTACTAGCATAAATCATTCTCAGGTCCCTTGGCAAAATACAGGTGGCAAACCCATCCGGATCCTGTTTTGGGAACTCACCCTGGGACCATTCTAGCTCATGCATCAGGTGTACTTTGAATAAGAGACGTCCTCCTCCTCCTCCTCCTCCTCATCTTTGAAGTGCAGGCTGGAAGGGACCCCATGCATCACCTGATCTGGTCCCCATCAAGGAGGCACACTGGGGATTCGAACGGCCAACCGGATGCCCAGGCATGGAGCTATCCCAGCGCAGAATCTGTAGCAAACGTTTTTATATCTGTTCAAAGACTAAGAGGGGGTATTTGGCACGGGGAGCGTTGATGTAAAAGAAAATGTGACATCTGTGCCAAGCTGTTGAGGACAGGGTAAGAGGGAGAAAAAGAGGGTGTGATGGCCCCTCCTGCCTGCGCAGCATCATCCACGCGGAGATCCTGTTGCTTAGCACAGTTAAGTTGCAGCTGAAGTAGGCCCATTGAATCGGTGGGGTTCTGGTGCTCCAACTCTGCCCTACGTTCCCCTGATTCAATGGGCCTAAGTTGCAACTGAACTCTGCTAAGCAACAGGACTTCAGCCCCGGTGCGTTGTGCCTTTAGAAAACGACAATGGTTTTATTATTCACAGAGGAGGAGCTTATTTCACAAATTAAAAAAAAATCACCCAGGATCCAACCGAAACCACGAATTTTGCCACTAAGGCCACAAGCCACAATATGCGATCCAGCGTAGTCCTAAATATCTAGAACTTTACAAGAACAAGACAGGGAAAACTTATCATGGGGAAGGCTGCCTTTCTGCCCCCCCCCATGCACACATTTTATTGGAACCAAAAGAAATAAACCCATTCGCTTTGATACTGATCAATAAGCAGACTGTAGAACTTTACAAGAACAAGACAGGGAAAACGTATCGTGGGGAAGGCTGCCTTTCTGCTCCCCACCCCCATGCACACATTTTAGTAGAACCAAAGGAAATAAACCCATTTGCTTTGATACTGATCAAAAAGCAGACTGCATCCCATAACATCAACAAAAGCCCAGTTCACATCCGACAGGAAGCACCCTCCATTTCTTCCTTCTGAACCCCAAATATCTTTATTTTTTTGGGGAAAAGAAAACAGTTGCGAAAGAACAAGGCGTTGGATGAAAGATCCCAATCCGAACCTCGTCCAGTTCCCGGTCTCCCTTCGTTCACAGCAGAAAAAGGGAAGAAATAGCATGGAAGTTAGATTTGTTCTTTCTGCAGGAACTCAAGATTCCTCTTCACCGAAAATCAAACTCTCCAGTACCAGCTGTTTTGAAAATCAAAACAAGGTAGGGTCCAGCTGGAGCTTGGTAAGTGAGCCCTCGGCAAAAAGACGACCACAGGTTGGAAGCTGGGGTATCTAGTGAACAGTTCTCTCCTTCTGCCTCTGATAATCTGGAGAAACAGAACGGACATCAGGACATCAACAAGGCACATGCTCGGTCTGAACGAAAATCCAGTGCCCTCTTTTGTAGGTTAATGCCAGCCAACTACCTCGGGGAAGTCCCCACGTGGAAGCTAAATCCCCCCTGTGTCAGCGAAAGAACTCAGGAAGATGTAGTGGCCGGAATCCTGTTGCCTATTTAAGCCTGCATAAGGGAGATCAGCTGATGGCAAATGGCTTCTCATTCACAATGTGCTGATTGCTTTCCTGAACTTGTGTGACCAGGCAACCGCCCAGAAACACAACCAGCACCTCCTTAATGAGCAGCAGTTGGATACTGGGCTGATGTGATTTTCCTTATACAACAATAAATCTGCAACAGGATTCTGGCCACTGCTTCCAGGACGGTGTAGAGTTAAGCTGTCGGGCTGGGATTTTTCGAGATCCAGGTTTAAGTTGCCCATGGTTCCGGAAACTCACTCTGGAATTTGGGGCCAAAGGCTTGTTCTCGCAGCTTGATAACCCTCCCAGGGAGGGGGAGAGCCATGTGTGGGGGACAGATGATATATGAACGTAAATAACGATGATAATAATATTTTATTTATTACGTGCTGATTGCTTTCCTGAACTTGTGTGACCAGGCAACCGCCCAGAAACACAACCAGCACCTCCTTAATGAGCAGCAGTTGGATACTGGGCTGATGTGATTTTCCTTATACAACAATAAATCTGCAATAGGATTCTGGCCACTGCTTCCAGGACGGTGTAGAGTTAAGCTGTCAGGCTGGGATTTTTCGAGATCCAGGTTTAAGTTGCCCATGGTTCCGGAAACTCACTCTGGAATTTGGGGCCAAAGGCTTGTTCTCGCAGCTTGATAACCCTCCCAGGGAGGGGGAGAGCCATGTGTGGGGGACAGATGATATATGAACGTAAATAACGATGATAATAATATTTTGTTTATTTATTAACATTTCTGTACTGCCCCACTAGTGTTGCGGTTCTCTGGGAGAAGAGGGCACCATCCATAGCCAGATTTATCATAGTATCTCCTCCTCTCCTCTAAGGCCCTCTTTAAGGTAGACTAATAAAGCACAGTTCTTCTCTGGCACAGTTGTGCAATTAAACACTGCGCTACTAACTGATCCACAACAACGTCTTATTTTTCCTTCGTCAATCTTGGCTTTCTGGTGGAGCCTCCTGAAACCACAATTCCCCTGCCTGGAGCAAAAACATCTCACACTTGCGGAGTTGATGTGCCCAAGAGCAATGAGGAGGTGCAGAACTTACACAGTGCACAGTTTCAGTTTGAAAAGACACCCAGATTTTGCAAAAAGCAGCAATAGCAGCACTTACTGTAAGGGAAGAAACGGACTCTCATGACAATCTCGCGTGCGGTTTTCACAATCTCCACCGCCTGGGAGGAAGCAAGACAAAGAAGAAGAGAAATGGCTGATTCTGAAGAAAATCAATGTGGGTCGTAAAAGGCCCTGCACACTGGCTTCTTCCACTTTGCTTCTAAAGCATGGGTTCCCAACTTTGCGTCCCCAGATGTTCTTGGAGTAAAACTCCCAGAAGCCTTCACCACTGGCTGGGCTGGTTAGGATTTCTGGGAGTTGTAGTCCAAGAACGTTTAGGGACCCAAGTTTGAAAATCACTGTTCTAAAGAAATTTCTCATCAACCGTTTGTGCCGGCTTAATCCAGGAAGTTGGTTGTTTTGTAAAACTTCCAACTATGTCCTGGCATGCCTCTCATGTAATCGGAGCCCGAGAAAAGTTACTTTCCCCCCCAGGTTGGCTAAAGCTTCAAGAAGAAGAGAAATGGCTGATTCTGAAGAACATCAATGTGGGTCGTAAAGGGCTCTGCACCGGCTTCTTCCACTTTGCTCACTAGGGGGTCTAAGCCTCTGCTGAGAGGCCGTTTCTGGGAGTTGTAGTCCAAGAACGTTTAGGGACCCAAGTTTGAAAATCACTGTTCTAAAGAAATTTCTCATCAACCGTTTGTGCCGGCTTAATCCAGGAAGTTGGTTGTTTTGTAAAACTTCCAACTATGTCCTGGCATGCCTCTCATGTAATCGGAGCCCGAGAAAAGTTACTTTCCCCCCCAGGTTGGCTAAAGCTTCCGGGAGGAGTCACCCGATAGGTAACTCCACCCAAGCTTGGATCGAAGTTCTGTTTTCTTGCTCATTAGGGATCTGAGCCTCTGTTGAGAGGCAGTATCTCACCTTGCCATGTTCTATATCCTGAAAGTCCACATCGTTCACTGACAAGACTTGGTCTCCCTCCTGTAGTCCAGCACGATGGGCATCGGAGTCCGGGATCACCTGGCAACAAGACGGGCGACAGTACCAGTTAGACATTTGCAAACACCGGTATCAAGGATGGGCAAACCAGGCCTGTTCCGATACACAATTTGTTACCCCCTGTTTTGCCCCTTTACAGTTCAATACAATGCCCAGTTCATCCTGCCAAACTGTCACAATATGTAAGTAGAACTCCCCATACTTGGAGAATGAAACTGTGGATTAGGATTAAATTGTAATGATCATAATAATAACGATCATAAAATAAAGTCATCTCTGACTTATGCCAACCTTTCTGAGGTTTTCAAGGTAGAGAAGACTCAGAAGTGGTTTCCCCTTCCCTTCTTCTGGGGGTGTCCGAGGACTGTGCAGTTTTAGAAACTTAACACACATTCTCACATCCCTTCCCTCTCCTTTCTAAAAAAACTCCAAACAAAATTACTTGGGTTTTTTTTACTCTTATGACATCTAAGGCTCCCATCATTTGTGTGTTCGTTCATGAGTAGCTCTGAATACGCTAAATGACACTTTCTTTAAAAAAAAAACAAGCAGAAAAACTAACAGATGCAGCGGTAGAAGGACCACACCTCAAAAATCAAGTCACTCAGCAAATGAACTGACATTGTGGGCCTTATCACATGCAACAATTGCCTGAAAATAAATAAATAAATACATAAATAACTGCTAAATTATCTTTCTAAAAAAAAACTCCAAACAAAATTACTTGGGTTTTTTTTACTCTTATGACATCTAAGGCTCCCATCATTTGTGTGTTCGTTCATGAGTAGCTCTGAATACGCTAAATGACACTTTCTTTAAAAAAAAAACAAGCAGAAAAACTAACAGATGCAGCGGTAGAAGGACCACACCTCAAAAATCAAGTCACTCAGCAAATGAACTGACATTGTGGGCCTTATCACATGCAACAATTGCCTGGTGGCCATTTTCTTTTAAAAATGTTTTGTGTTTGAAACTGTTTTGTTGTTTGTTTGGTTTTGCCCATAATAAAACACTGAAGAAAAACAAGACCTTGCACAAAATCCAGATCCAAGGGTGGGTAATACTTTTATTATGCCACTGAGATATAAGAAGCAGGGGAATTTAGCAGAGCTAATTGGTTGTGATTAAAGGGCAAGAGACAAGCCTACCTTAGAGATGAAGATCCCCAGCTGAGACGCCTTTCCTCCTCGAATATTGAAGCCCAACTAGAAAAAAAAAGAACAGATGGATCAGTTGATAGCAAAGGAACTGCCAACATTTAGCTGTTAACCACGGAACTGGTTTTTGAACAGTCTTTTCGCCGACTCCCTTAACTACAAACACAAAGCTACTGCAATAATTCTGCATTTGTTGTCTCTTTGACTTTAAATATTGTCTTAATTTACCGACTTCTTTGTATTGCATTAACATAATTCTGCAGCTTTTGTTCTCAAGCTAGCTGGGCCAGAGGAGACAGTGGGTTAAGTCAACTTACAACTACTGGATCTTATTATTTTGACAGCACTTTCATCCCCATTACAGGGCACCGACTTCAGTTTTTATGACAGTATTACTATTATTATTCAGGCGCAGTGTGTTGCACTTCCCAAAATTTTACATTGCATGTGGCTACTCCACAGAAGGCCTGGAAATCTGCTACTAGGAACTGGGCCTTCTCAGTGGTGGAATTCACTACCAGCGGAGGTGCTTGTGGTCCTCACCTTCATGGCATTCAAGAGACAAATAAAAGCATGTGGTTTTTTTTAGCCAAGCCTTTGATAACCTGCTTCCTATTTAATTATTTGATAGATGATTTTTGTTTCAATTGATATCACCATTGTGGTTTGGGGGGTTTATTGTGAAACAATGCATTACCAGGGTGGGATTTCCCCCACCTCTTTTTCTTTTCTTTGATGGTTCATTTTATGCATTTTATTGATGCACGCCACCCAGAGTGGGGGCCTAGGCAACCAGATGGGCAGGGTGTAAGTTTAATAATAAATACATGAATATTCTTTATTTTGACTCTCATGGGAAGTGCAGAACATATTTGGTCCTAAGCTCCAAACTTCGTTTTTGAGACAGAGTGAGCAGGTCTGGATCTCAGTGGGAGGAGGATAAAGAGTGGGTCCCAAAACACCAGAATAGTTTTTGCTTAATCTTCTTATTGCCCATCGATGAATCCACAAAGAGGCCTTTCAACCTTTCTGAATATGGCAGGGAAACCAGCAAATAATGGTGCTTTGAGGAAAAGGTGGCAACCTACAGACCTCTCCAGAAGGGTGGATTCGGCTCCAGGGCCACAGTTTCCAACCCCTGCAACCAGTAGGGGGGAGGGCTCTGCTTTTTGTACTCAGATGTCCCATTCATTACCCTCTGCCTTCCCAGAAAACCATCCTGACTTCCAAGCGAACTGCCCACTATGTCAGCAGGCAGCAGAAAGAACATGCTTTGCCATCAAAGTGACTGAAACTGGCCACTCCCAGAAGGGGGACCACGGAAGGCTCCCCCACCCCTGTCTTGCAGTGGTGGAAGGAGACGGGCTTCTCTTGGGCCTCCAGATGTTGTTAAATAGCCACTAGCACCAGCCTTGGGAAGCACAATGAATGGTGACAAGACAATAATATGTAGAGATCAACGAGGTTCTCTTGCTCCTGAACAGGAATCCAGGAAAGGAAGCTTTTATCCAAGTGGATTAATATAAAGTTCAAAGGGTTCATCCTTTTTCCTAGTACCAGGTCAACTCTCACCTGAGCTCCTGGAGGCTTCTTCAGGACAATGGTGCGAGGCAGGAACTGGGTCAGTTCATTGTTGTAATCAGAATGGTAGATTCTCTACAGGAAAGAAAAAGATGAAAAATCACATCGCGATCCTCTGTTTTGGGGCTCACTGTACCGTCGTTTTCTCTGTCTCTGCTCTGGGCGGGGTATGAGGCAAATACAGGGGGAACCTGCTCAAATACAACATGTCAAACTACAAAGACGTCTTTTCAGAATCATCCCCGCCAGACTTCTATCTAGCACCATGCAGGGTCTGAATGAGAATTCTGACATTGCTAGTGATATGTGTGTGTGCATGTCAGAAAGCCTCCATAATGACAATGGGATTGGGGGCTACCCACCTCATGAGGAGGGATCCAGGTTGGAGGGCTCTCGTACGGAGGCAGAAAGACCACAGGATAGTCGTCATAGGGGATCCGGCCCCCACCTCCCATATCCATTTTGGAACGGAACCGCGGAGGTTCAACCGGCCCTTCTGATGGGTGGATGTCTGAGGAAAGAAAGCAGCACCAGTGACTCCGTCTTCCTATCTAGTATACAACAACATAATATAGCCAATTACCTTCTCTTCATGGATCCCGTTAGCTTCATGCATAAATGAATCTTCCACGAGGGAGGGGGGAACAAACCTTTGGCACTTCAAATGGTTTGGACTCCCACAGCTTTTTGTCTTTGGCGTTGCAGGCTGTGGATTCTGGGCACTGTAGTCCAATCCCTCCGGAGTGCCAAAGGTTCCCCACGGCTAGATCTTGTACAGCCCCCCCCATCTCTTCTTCCTGACAGAAATTCTGGGGGCATAATTGTTTGTTAGGCAGTTTAAAAACACACCCACGCTCACCCATAAATGCACAACCGTTTGTATATTGTTTTTAAAGTTTGAAGCCATAGAAGAGAAGACAGCTAGCTCTATTGAATTTGGCTGAAAAGCCTGGAAAAGTTACTTTTTTTTGGAGGAAGGACTACAAAAAAAAAAGAGAGAGAGAGAGCTTCCCCTGCCAGTAATGGCTTGGGGGGGGAATTCCCACCCCTCCCCAAATCGTTGCCTCCCCCGCGACACCAACGCCCTCATCTGGTGCTCATTAAGGCCATGCTGGCCGGGTCTACTCAGAAGCAAGTCCCGCTGAGTTCAATGGGGCTGACTCCCAAGTAAAAAAAAAGGGGGGGATCAGGAGGCCCTCTCTCCCGCCTCCCCTTCCCTGGAAACGAGCCCCAGAGGGTCCTCCTCCTCCTCCTCCCGAGGAGACCTCCCTACGAGCGGACCTCTCCGCCTCGCCTTCACTTAGCAACCGGGGGGGGTCCCACCTGCCGTCCCTCACCAGAGCAGCTGGGCCCGGGTAAGCCCCGCCTCCCTCCTCAACCCTCCCGCCAATCCGGAAAAAGCCCTGCCCGAGGAAGCCGCCAATCCTCCGGGCTCTCACGCCATTGGGCTCCCCCCGTCTTGCCCGTTGACCCCGGGAGGCGCGTTCGGATTGGTCGAGATGAGAAGGGGAGGCGGGAGGGGGGAAAAGGAGGAGCTCGCTTCGCTCAAGGTGGGCGTGCCCGTTTCTATAGGTCTGTCTTCCGGGAGGGACAGTAGAGAGAAAGAAAGAAAGAAAGAAGGGGGGCGAGCGTCATGCCGTCACTTCCGGCGTCGCCCGGCCCCGCCCCTTCGCTCGCGACGCCCGGATTGGCGGGCTCGGTTTGAATGTTGGAAGTTGAGGGAAAAGAAAGGAGCGGCGGCGGCGGCGCGAGAGCGAGAGAAGGAGAGAGAGGCAACGGTCGGGCCGGGGCTGAGGAGGAAGAGGAAGGAGAAGAAGAAGGCCGCCCTCGGTGAGTCCAGGCTCCGTCTCTTTCTTTGCCTTTCCCTTTTGGGCGGGGAGGCGGTTCGGGTTCGGGTTCGGCGCCCTCCTCCTCCGCCCCTTCCTGGCTTCTCTTTCTCCCCCCCCCGTCGCCGCCCTTTAAAGTTACTTTTCTCCCTCCTTTCCCTATTTTGTGTGTGTGTGTACACACACACACACACACATAGGCATATCTCTGAATTGCCATATAAGTATAACTGTTTGTGTATGTACTGTGCATACACAAACACACATACTGTACATAGGCATGCATATGTATATGCACACACACATACCTCTATAGTTACAGTTGTCATAGTTGTTGATATCATTATTTTGTGTCTTTTATAATTTTTAATAATTTTTTAATAATTCTCTTTCTCCCCCCCCCCGCGCTGCCCTTTAAAGTTACTTTTCTTCCTCCATTCCATATGTGTGTGTGTGTATAGGCATATCTCAGAACTGCCATGCAGTTATAACTGTGTCTTTATGTACTGTGTGTGTACACACACACACCCCTATATAGTTATAGTTCTCACAATTATTGATATCGTTACTTAGGTTCTTTTATAATTTTGTGTTGTTGTTATTAAGCAAGTGCCAATGTACTCTATAGGAGCATGATCTTGTAAAAAATGTTTTTAATCTTGAAAAGAGAGAGTGAGTGTGTTAAAAGATTATACTGGTATAGATTATATTGGTACTGTATTTGCTTAATAGCAGCCACGAAACAGTGTAAATGATTTATATAACTTGTTTAGTTATAGGACTGGCTCGTTGTAACTCTATAAGTGGTTAATGAATTTTAGAAATCTTGATATGCGCGCGCACACACACACACACAAAAGTTTTGAAGAGAGCCACATAACTTTACTAGAAGTGCATCAAGAGATAAAGGACCCGTTATATAGTTGTATAACTCTTGACTCACCCCTTGAGTTATATGGCCCTCTTCAAAACTCAGGGGTGGGCCAGGATTTCCAAAATTTGATGTTGAGAAGAAACAAAGATAGTGATAGTAATGAAGGAACTACTTTTGTTGTTATACTTTTTACTATCATTATTTTGTTGGTGTTATTAAGCAAATGACAATAAGCATTGTTGCTACCAGTGATAATAATTATAACCATGGTCCATGTTTTAATATTAATACCTTAACGTGCTGTGTTTTTTAAATACATTTTTGGGTTGTTTTCCACTACCTTAGATCCCATCACTGGGAGAAAGGTAGGATAGAAGTAAAATGGACAAATAACGATTATTATTGTTGCATATTGTGCTTAGTTATTATTTGTTGATCTCTAGGCATAATACTTTTGAGTTTATTGTTACATCCAAAAATTCATTGTTTCCCTTTTTTTCATACCATTCTTCCTTTATTTATCCTTGTAACAGCTGTGAGATAGACTTAAATTAAGAGATGGTCTGGTAGGCTTTATACTTAGGGATACGGACTTGGCCTTTTCTCACCCACAAAGCTTCAGCGGAGAATGAACCGGTCCAAAACTGTTGTCTCTTATGACAGTTTTGCTGTCATTATGAGTACTTAATTTACATTAGCATTCGGTAATCAGTTTGTGTCTTGTGCTTTTGACCTTACAGTAGGTTCTCTCAGAATCACTAATAAAATGGAATGAACAACATATTGTGTTAAAAACAATAAGCATTTGGCAATGGGAAGACCAGGAACAATTGTTATAGGAACAATTAAGCTTTAAACACCATTTTCAAGCAAGGTGTTAAGATCACCAGGAGAAGCCTTTCTCTCTTTCCCACCACCATCACAGGGCATATTTGGTGGGGACACAGGAGAGGGTCTTCTCCATCCCTGCTCCCAGACTGTGGAACTCCCTCCCACTGGAGGCCACCCTGGCCCCCATCTCTGCTGTCTTCGCAAGCAGAAAAAGCACTTTTGCTTCAGGCAGGCTTTTCCTGAGGGACTGGCAGTCTAGGAGATGTTTTAAAATGGAATGGTTCATATTTTCGTGCTTCTAAATCTGTTTTAGTAATGCTTTCATGTCACATTTTAAATATGTTACTAATTCTTTTTTAATATTTGAATAATGTAATAATTTTCAATAACCGGTCCAAAACTGTTGTCTCTTATGACAATATTTGAATAAGGTAATGTTTTCAATGTTGTAGCATTTAATGATATAAGCTGCCTGGGTCCTTTTTTAGGAGCAACACAGGGCAAAAATATTTTAAATAAACAGATTTCACAGCATGCCATGTCATAGTCATTAGAGACTTTCATATATTTTCATTCCCTTAATTGGTTCAGGCTTACCCTCCTGTCATCAAGCTCCTCCGTACTTATTTACCAGGCACTTCCATGAACTCTGAAAGCCCTTCTCTTCCAGCTGGTCGTCTGGGGTTTAGACGGTGGCTTGTCACAAAATGCCTCTGGCGGTGTCTTTCTCGATCGTCTGACTTTCTCATTTCTTTTAGGAAGATAATGCTCTAAAATGTCTAAAGAAGAGGACAAGGTGATCCCCGTGCGGGTGGCGCTGAGGTGCCGCCCGCTGCTGGCGAAGGAACGGGCCGAGGGTTGCCACATGTGTTTGTCTTTCGTCCCCGGAGAACAGCAGGTGAGGGAAGAGGGGCCTTCTCCGAGGAGCTCTGCGCCCTTTTAAACTTGCTCTCAAAGATTGAACCTCATTGTGGCATTGTGTCAGGCAAAGACGGCTCCAAACGGGGACAGCTTTTGGTTCTGAGGAGAGAGAACAAACTCGCCTTCACTTTCCCCGCAGGTCGTTCTAGGCAAGGACAAGCCTTTCACCTACGATTACGTTTTCGACCCATCTGCGGAGCAGGAAGAGGTGTTCAACACCTGCATTGTTCCCCTCATCAAGGGCATTTTTAAAGGTGAGAGTCTTTGGCTCTCATGGGATTTTTTTGGGGGGGGGCATTTCTATTAAGAGTGGAGGCATCGTGGTGGAAAGGGGCCGCCTCGCTTGACTCGTGCCATTAAAAAAAATCTCTTTTATATAGATAAGTGGGGGTTTGGTGAGCCCACCGGCTTTAGCAACGGAACTTAATTCATGGAACTTACAGAACAGTTGATGATCAAAACCGATGGGCTAGCGAGCCACCTCTCGTGTGACTTTCTAAGCTGAGCAACTGGATTTCAGCCAGTCTTTCTTTCCTACACGTGGTAGTTGCAGTTTAGAAGATCATTACTTAAGCAAGACTTCAGCCGGGGCCCTTGTGGCTTGGGTGAAATGCAGGCTGATGAAAATTTGGGCCCGCCATTCCTTCAGAGGAATAGACAAGGGGTGCCCAACTTGCTTCCCCCTTTTTCTCATGTGAATGGGTGGCATCTTGCTTGTTCGGGGGCTGCTACCTCATGGATGTGACACTTAAACTTGCTTTTATGGACTTTCTGACACAGGGTACAATGCCACCGTCTTGGCCTACGGTCAGACGGGCTCTGGGAAGACGTACTCCATGGGAGGGGCCTATACAGCCGAGCAGGAGAACGATCCGAGCGTCGGAGTCATCCCCCGGGTGATAAAAGTGCTCTTCCAAGAAATGAAAGAGAAGACTGGCTGGCAGTTTTCCTTGAAAATCTCCTATTTAGAGGTAGAAACCCTTTGTGTTTTTAGTAACTATTGTTGTTAGTTGCGTTCATCTGCTGTCATTCCTGCTGGGATTGTGTTCTCCTTCCCCCTTTATCTTCACAACAGTCCTGTAAAGTTTCGCTCCTTCAGCTTGAGCTACAAGCCTAAACTCACACTGGTTGTTCAGTGGGAACCTGCCTAATATTGTTCTAAGTCACCTTCGGTCCTTTTCAAGAGGAAAGGCAGGGTAAAAGTTTTTTCAATAAATAAGGTTCCAGCCTTCATTTGGGGCTGGGTTTTCAGTTTGCTGTTCAGCTCTACCTTCCATCCTCATATTTTTTTGTGCTACCGCCTTCTACGACCTTTGGATTTTGCCACCTAAGGTTCTCTTCTCATATATTCAGATCTACAACGAGGACATTCTAGACCTCTTGTCGCCGGCCAAGGACAGGACCTCTCAAATCAGCATCCGCGAGGACCCCAAGGAAGGCATAAAGGTGGGCGTCCCTGTGCCTGTTTGTTCTTTCAAGGGAAAAGAGAGGGAGATGTCGGAGGTTAAGCCGATAGGTTGACTGGGTCCTGTGGTCATGTTGCAGGAATTTGCAAATTGGTTACCTCTGGCAGGCAAAAAGCCAGACCAGCCTAAAGGAGGGGAGAGAAAAACAAGGCATGATACACCCACTAAAAGCAAAACAATTTACAGAGGTGCCCTGCATAGTGAGGTTAATCCGTTCCAGATTAACCTTTGCTATGGGGAAACATCGCTATACGGAAGGGAAAAGCCCATTAAACTTTGTTTAATGCGTTCCAAATGGGCACAAAACTCACCGTTCTGCGATGTTTCCCCCATCCGGCCGCCATTTTCGTGCCCTCGGTAAGCGAGGGCAGGGCGCAAAAATGCTGCGCGCGGCCATTTCGGGCATCGGCCGCCATTTTGTAACCGCCGAACAGCTGATTTAAAAAATCGCTAAGCGAAAATCAGTAAGCGAAATGCTTACCGATCGTCGCTAAGCGATTTTCACCCATTTGAACCGTCAGTATGCCTTCGCATTAGCGATCCAAAAAAAGGATCGCTGTGCGAATTCGTTGTTATACGGTGCGCTCGTTGAGCAAGGCACCACTGTACTCTGAGCTGCTGGATAGGTCTCTGGCTGCAGATTTATTATCATCATTTATTCTGCACAGAATGGAGAGACACAAAATCAGGGTCTCTCGGAACATTCGTTGTTATACGGTGCGCTTGTTAAGCAAGGCACCACTGTACTCTGAGCTGCTGGATAGGTCTCTGGCTGCAGATTTATTATCATCATTTATTCTGTACAGAATGGAGAGACACAAAATCAGGGTCTCTCAGAACATTATAAAATAAATAAACATTTATTCTAGACCAGTTTTATACATAAAACTGCACTTATATTCATCATTACTGTTATCACGTCTAACAATTTCACATGGTTACAGTTGTTTTGTTGTGAGTACAGTGGTGCCTCGCAAGATTAATTTAGTTCGTTCCGCGGTTAATGTTGTCTTGTGAAAAATTCATCTTGCGAAATGCGTTTTCCCATAGGAATGCATTGAAATCTAATTAATGAGTTTCTATGGGCAAAAAAGTGAGAACAAAGTCAAATTTGGTTTACAAAGGGTTTATTAAGTGCTCTTCAAAGCCATACATATTGTGCAGAGGATTTGAAAATTTCAATCAAAAAACTTTAACTTTTTCAACATCATAGAAAAAGTTTTTAAAATCAGCAAACATGAGGCAGAAACAAAATAGGAAACATTCGTCTTGCGAAGCACGGCCATAGGAACATTTGTCTTGTGAGTGATCAACCCCATTGCCAAAACCATTTGTCTTGCGAGTTTTTTGTCGTGTGAGGCACCACTGTATAGGTGTTAGTTTGTTACGCATTGCATTCCTATTCCCCAGGTACCATCATTACTTCTCAGTCTACAATACCTTTTACTCTTCTCTCAGCCGAGAGTGGAGATCGGCGTATTCTTGCTTGCTTGTCTCCATCTTCTGCATGGCTCAGACAGGGAGAGCCGCCGTCCTTTGGCCAGGCTGGACCCCAGCCATGATGGAAGGGTTGTTCTAGGGTGTTGTTGTGTAGTCGTGTCCGACCCTTCGTGACCCCATGGACCAGAGCACGCCAGGCCCTCCTGTCTTCAGGTGATAACCCTCCCCACCGTCTCTTCTCTCGATTCAGATTGTGGGGCTCACGGAACACGTGGTGACTAGTGCCCGGGAGACCGTCCTCTGCCTGGAGCAAGGGAACAACTCCCGGACGGTGGCTGCCACAGCTATGAACACCCAGTCGTCCCGTTCTCATGCCATCTTCACCATGTCCATTGAGCAGAAAAGCAAGGATGACGCGTAAGCAACGGATGTTCAGAACCCTGATCTTTTACTAAGCCTTGGGACTATGGCCTGGGGCAAGGGAGCTTCGGGCTTGCCGAGTGAACATGCCGTTTAAAACTGAACCACTTGAGGAGCGTTGGGGGAAAGCGAGAAGACCTTAATCCCGTTTTAAGGCACATAAGACAGGCAGTCCATGACTGTCTCTCTCAGGTCATCTCTTTGCAGATTTAAACTGTTGCTCCCCTGAATATCCATTGTCATCATCAACACCACCCATGGAATAGCTGTTGTCCCTCATTCCCATTCCCCCATCTTGTTGTGACTTGAATTTTTCTGGTTACAGGAACACCAGTTTTCATTGCAAACTGCATCTGGTCGACCTGGCTGGTTCTGAGAGGCAGAAGAAGACCAAAGCGGAAGGCGATCGGTTACGGGAAGGTGCGTGGAATAAGCTCTCAATTGGGGACTGTAAAGAAGACGGGGGGAAGAAACCCTTCCTTACCTGAGCTAGAGATCAAGGACGCTCAGCAAACGGCTCAGACTGACCCGAATTCAAGATTGGTGTTTTAGGGGTTGTTTGTTGAAGTGCTTTCGTGATCTTTCAGTTTCACTGCTTTCATGCTTCATTTGGGGTTTCTGGATCCTGTGCGGGAGCCTGGACATGTTTGGCCTGAATTGCCTCACCCGTCTCTTTTCTGTGTTTAGGGATCAACATTAACAAAGGGCTCCTCTGTCTGGGGAACGTCATCAGCGCTCTTGGGGATGAAACCAAGAAAGGCGGCTTTGTCCCTTACAGGGACTCCAAGCTGACCCGACTTTTGCAAGGTAAGAACGGGACGCGAGGCCCCTTGAGCGTCGCCTTGTGCCTTGGAGAAACTGCCCTTTCCTCTACAGGAGCGACTGTTGGGTGTGTGTTGGGCCCTCGGTTCACTTCAGCTGCTGCTCTTCCTCCTCTTTCAACTCCCAAGATTCCTTAGGAGGCAACAGCCACACGCTGATGATTGCCTGTGTGAGCCCAGCGGATTCCAACCTGGAGGAGACTCTGAATACCCTCCGCTACGCCGACAGGGCCAGAAAGATCAAGAACAAGCCCATCGTGAACATGGACCCCCAGGCTGCAGAAATCAACCGCTTAAGGCTGCAGGTGCTTCCTGTTCTTCTCTGGGCACCCCCAGATTTGGGGTGGGTGGGTGCATGAAGGCCACTGGGACCTCTGTGGGCGTGAGAATATTTCCCACTTTTGATTCCTGCCCTCCTTATTTCCTGAAATAGGGCATGGGATGGCAAGCGCGAAGTTCTTAGACTTGTAGAAATGGCAAGGCATAAAGCTAAAAACCGTCCCATTCTCTCTGCCAGGTTCAAGAATTGCAGGTTTTACTGCTTCAGGCGCATGGAGGAACTCTTCCTGTTTCTATTAGGTAAGCGTCCCAAACCATAGCAACCCCCCCTCCCACTGAATGGGACTGGAAGGGTGCTTTGGTTTCCCTTGAGGCTCCCCCTGTAAGGTTGATGCTGATGTTAACATCACATTAGTGCTGTTTCTGGAGTTTAAAAAAAAATAGGAAAGAACGCTTCGCCTTCCACTGTCTTTCCATAAATGCAATTGCGCCAATAGCTACGTGGGGGCCAGGTTGCCAACACGAGTCTGACCAAGGCTGCAGCAAACTGGAGGTTCAAATGGCGAAAGCTTGGTTTCCTGTTCAGTTTTAATATTGAGAGAATGTTCTTGGAAAACTAAGTTCTAAATAGGGTAGCCTTTAGGGTTAATTATTATCTGAATGCCCCAAAATGTTGACTGTTGACATGGGCGTTGTATCTCCTGCTTATAGTTGCAAATTTAGTTACAGTAGGACTATGGTATCCGAGGGGGATCGATTCCAAGCGCACCCCCCCGGCAGATGCTGAAAAACACGGAAATATGGAATGTTGTTTATTTTATGGCAGGACCATTGCACACACAACCCACGGGAGACCCTTGGGAGTGGAGTGGAATGCCCTGCTTTTGTGAGAACAGCTAGCACATTCTGTTTCCAATGATCTCATAGGTATCTGCAGATAAAGCTTGAAAACCCTTTTGGTTAATAAATGCAGTGTGGGCCTTAAAAAATACAGGTTTTCCTCCATTGTTTCTCCCTGCCACCCTTTGGCTGAAATTCTCTAGCCCAGTTTTGCAAACGGTGTAACTTCTAGACTCAAATTGGTCATAAATTAAGAAATATTCATAGGCCTCATCTGTTGCATGCTGAGTCCTGTGATTTGGCAGGCAACAGGCAATGTCCCTGGATCTCTCTTAATCCATGGCAATCTGAGTGTTAAAAGCGACTCCGTTTCTCTTGACTTGTGCCACAGGATTCCAGCTACTGCTTTTTCACCAATCCTGCCTTCCTTCTTTGTTCTAGAATAGTATATCCTATTGGTTGGTTGGAAGGCCGTTACTAACAAATCCTTCCTCATCTTTAGTGGTGAGCCCTCAGAAAATCTGCAGTCTCTGATGGAGAAAAACCACTCCCTCGCGGAGGAGAATGCGAAACTTAGCCGGGGCTTGAGTGAAGCAGCCGGCCAGGTCGCCCAGATGCTGGAAAAGATCATTATGGTAAGGATGGAAGAATGAAAACTTCCTGTTATAGACCGACCCAAGTCTGCCTTCTCGCCCCAGAGAGGGGGCTCAGAAATGTAAGGAAACAGGACTCTGGATTGGATTTTGTTTGCTTTGGTAGTTCAAGAGTAAAAATTTTAGGAGGTGCATTTTTAAACGTGTGTCATCTGGTCAATTCCAACTTCTGATAACCCCTTTCCAGAGTCTTCTGGGTATATAGGGCTCCGAAGCTGTTTTGTCAGTTCCTCCTTTGGGAGGGGGGGGTTGCGCGCACCCTGGAAGGGTGCAGCTGATTCAAAGATACACAGGTTGGCATTTAGCAGAGCATATGTAATAAGACTTCTCTGCAGCCTCCGGGGTCTAGCTCCACCACGCCCCCGAGTATCTTCCGGACAGGCGGTCCTGAATAGCACATTTGCAATGGCTTGCTGAACGCTGCTAGGGCAACACCAGCTGGAAGGACACCGTCCTTCATATGATCTGCTTCCCCTTTTGCTCTAGAACGAACAACAAAATGAAAAGGTGAACACGAAACTGGAGGAGCTCCGTCAACACGCCGCGTACGTGCCTGCTCTTCGCGCTTTCACGGTTTGAAACTGGGTGGTTCACGGGATGGACGGCCTCCTCACCGAACAGGGCTGGGGATCTGTGGCGCCTTTGGGAGGCGGGGCGGCTCTCTGTCTTTCCACACACACACACCCTTTGGGCCTCACTGTCCCTCCCTTGGTTTAAAAAACCCCAAGGGTCCAAATAAGATTGCAGGGGTTGCCTGTGGGCGTGGAATCGCATTAAACTGGAGAATCTGCCCTGGAAGTTTCTGGGGGGTTTCATTCTCCATTTGGACGCTATGGGAAAAGAATCCGCAAGGCAGGGGCTTGGCTGGGAGGGCGGGTTGAGCAGGCGGGCTTGGACCACATACTCTCCATGCTGGTCAGAGGTTGTTCGGTGCCCTTGTAAGCTGGCAGCAAAGCTTGAGAGAGGACAGTCTGAACTGAACATAGGGATGTTTTCTCCTGTGGATGGGAGGAAACGGTAAGCATCTGCACCCACCCCTCTTTGGCTTCCAGTCTGTTGATCAACTGAATGTCTGGGGGAACAGCATGAGGCCTTTTCTGTCAAGCTCCGGCTTGGCACGGAGCCGACATGGACTTGTAACTCCCCTCCCTTTCTCCACCGAATTTCAGGTTGAAACTTGACCTGCAAAGGCTGCAGGAGACTCTAGAGGACCAAGACCTGAAAGAGCAGGTGGCACTCTTTGGCCAGTTGCAGCAGCTGATTGCCCAGTTGCTGGTAAGTGTCCTTCTTGCTGGGGGAGGGAAAGGGTTTCTGTGGCCCGCAGAATCCTTGGTTTGGGGAGAGTCTGGAGCCCTAAGCGTTCCAAGCCCCATGCCCAGTTGTGGCTCCTGGATACGCCAAAATTGGAGAAGGTCCTGTCGTTTTGTTTTGAATTGGATCTTGCTTCGGGGCAAGCCACTGTTTGCAGGCCCCCGTTCACAGCCATGAGCTCAACGGTGTTTTCTCTGCAGAAGGAAAACCCCACTGGCGTCGCTGACATGGACACGTCGGACCACGAGGCGAGTGTAGTAAGTAAAGAGCCTCTCGGCTGGCAGCTGCATCTCGAGAGGTCCGGATTCATATCCTATGTACTTCCTTGTTGGCTTCTGCACTCTCTAAATAACACGCTGTCTTTGGATTCGAGCACCTTTCCCTCCCTGTTTGCGACAACGGAATAATGGCACACCTCACAGGGTTGTCAGAGGGCAAGGGTGCCTTCCCTCATAAAGGGATTATCCAGATCACGGTCGTGCAGGGGGGCGGACAAGGTTGCCAGTGTATCCCTTTTCCATTTGGCCCCTGGATGCTTGATGGCATTCCCGTCTCGCTCCTCTCTTCCCAGGTTTCCGAAGGTGACCTGGATGCCCAGCGTGCCTCTGAAGAATATGCTACTCAGCACGCCCTCCACCAGGCTCAGATGTCGAAAGAGCTGCTGGAGCTCAACAAGGCGCTTGCTCTGAAGGAGGCCCTGGCTCGGAAAATGTCTGAGAGCGACAGCCAGCTGGAGCCCATACAGGGCCAGTACCAGGTAAGGGCTGCCGAGGAGAGGGGAAAGGTCGTTACGACAGGCGACGGTGGCAGAATCCTTGTCGGCGGTGGGAGGCAGGGCTCCCCTTGGCCAGGTTGGAAAAGGATCCTTGGGGTAGAGATAGTATTTTTGGCTCAGGCCGCAGAGTTTTTAGCAGTAACCTTTGCAACCCAAATCCAGATGGGTAAGGTAAAGGTTCCCCTTGACATTAAGTCCAGTCGTGTCTGACTCTAGGGCACAGTGCTCATCCCCGTTTCCAAGCCGTAGAGCCAGCGTTTGTCCGTAGAGAGTTTCCGTGGTCACGTGGCCAGTGCGATTAGACATGGAACGCCGTGACCTTCCCACCAAGGTGGTCCTTATTTATCAACTCGTATTTACATGCTTTCGAACGGCTAGGTTGGCGGGAGCTGGGAAAGTGACGGGAGCTCCATCCGTCGCGCGGATTCGATCTTACAACGGCTGGTCTTCCCACCTTGCAGCGCAAAGGCTTCTGCGGTTTAACCCGCAGCACTGCCACGTTCCATTGATGGCAAAGGTTGCTGAGAAATCTCTCTCTTTCTCTCAATCTCTCTCTCTTTTCTATCAAGACTAATATCAAGGGTCTAGAAGAGGAAGTTGCCAAGCTGCAGAAGGAGAAGGAGGATCTGGTCCTTGCGCTGCATATGACGAAGAAGGATGTCAGTCAAGCCAAGTAAGCGGCCCCTCTCTGGGCAGAAAGGAAGGGAAGGGGTGGAGTGGACCAGAAAGGATGAGCAGATGCCTTTGGGGTGCTGTGACACCTCCCCAGCAGCTCCTCGGAGTCACGGGGGCCCCGTCGTCCTTTCAGGCTGAGTGAGCGTCGGCGGAAGCGGCTTCAGGAGCTGGAAGGGGAAATGTCGGATCTGAAGAAGAAGCTGAAAGAGCAGTCCAAGCTCCTGAAGATGAAAGAATCCACCGAGCAGACCGTCAGCAAGCTGAACCAAGAGATCCGGGTACAGAAAGGCGAAAGGCCCGATGAGAAAGATGGCGAGGAGGGGGGGGGGAAGTTGGCTTGGGTTTCAATTCCCGCCCTGAGCAGGGGGTTGGACGCGATGGCCTTCAAGGGGCCCTAACCCTTCCAGCTCTCCATGCAATGAGTATAAAGATCTAATTCCCGCCCTGAGCAAGGGGGTTGGACGCGATGGCCTTCGAGGGGCCCCAACCCTTCCAGCTCTCCACGGTTCTATGCAATGAGTATAAAGATTTTCTGAGTTGTCCAGGCAGAGGTTTATGTTTTGTGCGAACTGTAGTTGTGGGGGTTTTTTGCATTTCATGGAGGGGCAGTTAGAAGAATGTGGATCATAGAAATCAAAATGGAGGGGCAGTTAGAAGAATGTGGATCATAAAAATTAGAATGGGGGGGGGGAATTCTGCCTGCCAGAATGCTTCTAAGCCACTAAAAAGAAAGTTTGGAAACTGGCTCGTTTCGCAACGGGAGCTTGAGAAACCTAAATTGAGAAATCCGAGGGCCATTTTGAGCATAATCACTTATCAAAGGTGCAGTAAATTGTATTCGCGAAGGCTTTCATGGCCGGGATCTAATGGTGGTTGTGGGTTTTTCAGACTCTCTGGCCATGTTCTGAAGGTTTCCAAAGCACAGAGTGCTGTCCTCTGAAGATGCCGGCCACAGAGACTGGCGAAACGTCAGGAAGAACAACCTTCAGAACAAAGAGCCAAAGAGCCTGAAAAACCCACAACAACCGTGCAGTAAATTATCTAGAAGAATTCAGGTGGCTGTAAGATGCCTTGCCAACACTGAAATTCTCAAAAATACAGAGGATTCCCTGTTTTATCAGCACGGTTGTATTCCAGAACCCTTCCTGTTTTTTATGGGGTCAGCAGGTCTCCTAAGGGCCTGAGCATCTCAGTGTCTATCCAGACTCTGCACCTTCATGTCCCCACTCCCAAGCCTCTATTTGTCTTTCACTCAGGCCATGAAGACCCAGCGTGTTCAGCTGATTCGTCAGATGAAAGAGGACGCTGAGAAATTTAGGCAGTGGAAGCAGCAGAAGGACAAGGAAGTCATCCAATTGAAAGAGCGGGTGAGTGTAACTGTTGAACGGCATCTTCGTTGTCCCTTGAGGGGCCTCCGGCGTTGGAGCGCTCACCACCTCTCCCTGAGGTTCCGTTGTCATACTACTCTAACAGTTAGGAAGTTTCCCCCTGATCTTTAGCCGAAATCTGGCTTCCTGTCACTTGAGCCCATGGTTTTGTGTCCCACACTCTTGAGATGATCGAGAACAGATCCTGCCCCTCCTCTGTATGGCAGCCTTTCAAGTGTTTGAAAAGTGCTATCAGATCTCCGCTCCATCTTTTCTCAAGGCTTAAACATGCCCAGTTCTGTCTTTCCTTTAGGAAAGCTTGGTTTCCAGCCCCCCCGATCATCCTCGTTGCCCTCCTCTGGACCTGTGCCAGTTGGCTGGCATCCTTATTAGATGCTTTTCACAAAAATGTTGCTGGTTCATGCAACATTCTTCCGAGTGTCTCTGAAGAAGGGATTTACACTAGAAGTGCATATGGTGATGTTCTAATAAAACTGTTAAGGAATGTAGGAGACATGGGTTTCTCTTTCTTTGCTCTGTGCTTTGAAGTGCTTGCCATTTCTTTCCCCCTATGATACAGTTGACAGTTGACGGGAAATAAAAGGGTTTATTTTCACCTGAATATGCTCAGTGTTCTGTACTTTCACTTGGAACTGACTACTGTGGGATTCTGATTTCCAAGGACGAGATGAGTTTCCTGCAATCATAATGATTTGCATGTAATGCCTCCGCTTATAAAAGTACATTTAAAGACTTTGTCGGCTCGAGGGCAGCCGCCATAGCAGTTCGTAGCATTCGCTGGCCACACATGTCCATTGTGCTTGTACAGTGCCAAGCTGAATAAGGCAGGGTGTTGAAAAGAGCGGTCCCTTCATTTTCAGGATCGCAAGAGGCAGTATGAACTGATTAAACTGGAGCAAGACTTCCAGAAGCAAGCCAGCGTCCTCCGGCGGAAAGCGGAAGAGGTGAGGACTCGGCCTCAGCCTTCCTTTGGTTTTCTTTTTCCTCCCAAAGTCGAACTGTCCCCAGAGATTTCAGTGTCTCGAAATACTTTGTGAACACAGATCTCCATGTTATGGTTTGCCTGTTTTATAGGCCGCCTTTCTCCCAGTAAGCAGACCTACGGCGGCTCACAGTATGAAAAGAATAATATGTATATACAATATATATATATATACAATAAAAAGAAAACAATTAAAATACTGTAGATACTCTAAAAATTGCCATCAGGACCCACAATTGATATTATTTCAATTAAAGGCCTTCTAGACAGGAAGGTTTTGATCTGGTGCCGAAAGGTCATTAGCGTCAGCGCCAGACGAATCTCAATTGGGATAGTGTTCCATAGTCTGGGGGCAGCTGCCGAAAAGGCCCTTTGTCTACAAGCCATCCCTCTTACCTCCTTGAGGGACGGCTCTTCCAAAAGGGCCCCCTGGCTAGATCTTAACTGCCAAGTAGGCTCATATGGAAGGAGGTGGTCCTTTAGATATCCAGGGCCCAAGCCGTTTAGGGCTTTATATGTATATATGTTGTCTTTAGTATACTAGCATGGAAGGGATGGCCACTATGGAACTGGCCTCCTCAGCCACACTAGATGCTGTTCCAAGACCTCTATTCAGAGCATGTGACCCTCGTCTCTCGAGACCAAGGAGGCCTACCTCTGCAGTATCCCAGCGTAGACTGTTGATTTTTAAAGCACAAGTTCTGGGAGTGCAAAATTCCAAGCCAAGTGAAATCCCCCAGTATTCTGTGGAAGAGAAAAAGAGGAGGCACCTCTCTCAGGACATTTTATTGGACTTCCAAATTTTATCCCACCTTTTCCTCGAAGGATCAGAGGGTGGTGGATTTTTTTCTCTTTCCTTCCATCCTCCTTTTGTGAGTCCTCCTTGGCATCCCTTTTGGGGACAGGACAGACTTGAGAGTCACCTTTTGAGCGTCAAGACGGACGGAAGGCTGCAAAGCCAAAGAACTGAGGTCTGACATCAACATTCTGGCTTCTGCGCCACTTTTTCAGGCGGCGGCGGCTAACAAACGCTTGAAGGTTGCGCTCTTGAAACAGCAGGAAGCTGTTGAGAAGCGGAAAGAAAATGCAAACCGTGGAATCGAAGGAATTGCTTCCCGTGTGAAGGTGAGGTGGTGCGGCCCTCTTGCTCCTCCGTAAGCCTCTAGATCTGTGATGGTGGAGCTGGCTTGGGCAGGGAGGAGGGAAACAGAAGCAGAGAGGCGAGAGGCAGCCGAGCTGGTGTATGGATGAGATCTTTCTGGAGGTAGACTGCGTGGGGTGGAAAGTCTAGCGGTAAGCAGACCTCTATTTACTGGAGAGAACTCATTAGATTAAATATATATTTTCATTATGTTCAAAACAAAAAAATTCTGTGTGTTTCTGGAGGAGCAACGCTTTCATGGGCCCTGCTTGTAGACTCTCCGTTGAAAGCGATCCTTTTCTTGTCCAGAACTGGCTTGCTAATGAAATCGAGGTCCTCATTAGTATAGAAGAGGCTCGGCGCCACCTCAATGACCTCCTTGAGGACCGGAAGACCTTGGCCCAAGAGATCACATCCCTGAAAGAGAAGCAGGAGGCTGGGGAGAATCTTCCTGCAAAGTATAAGGTGAGCCATGGAGGGCCTGATGACAGAATGTCCTTCAACGAAGCGGAGGGGGTTGGGGGGGCCTCGTGTTTGTAACCCAGGGCCAGATGTTCCTTGCTTGGAGGGAGGCTTCCTGGGGTGGGTGACTTCCCCCCCCCAACTTCTGGCTGGTAGGGCTTTCAAATACAGTGGACCCTCGACGTGCATACTTTTCAAGGCACAGACTTCTGGTAAGGTTAATTTTTAAAAATTTATTTTACATTTTTTGTGTTCGACATGCGTACTTTTCAAGGTACAGACTTCTGGTAAGATTAATTTTTAAAAATTTATTTTAAATTTTTTTGTTTGGGGGGGATTTCTTGGGCCAGTTACGGATTAAATGGTTTTCAGTGCATTCCTATAGGAAATGCATTTTCGACTTACGGGCACTGTTCCAATATAGATCAATTCCATAGGTCGAGGGGCCACTGTATCACCTCTGTTTTTTTTTAAAGTTGTTTATTCCCCTCTCCATTTGCCAAAGAGAAAGTCAACAGCTCCTCCCTCTGGAAGTTTTTTCAGTGATTCTCAACCTTTGGCCCTCCGGAGTCTTAAACCAGCTTCGGCTCCCAGAAACCCTGCACTTTGGCTTTACTGGCTGGAGGGAGGAGCAGGAGGGGCCTGGAAGCGAGCGAGAAACATCTGGAGGAGCCAAAGTGGAGATAAACTGGTTTAGGATATCGCTCATCTGAATCAGCCTCGTCTCCCTGAAAAGATTCTTTGCTTTGTTCACCTTTCCACCCCCACTCTCCTTTCATTCTCCTTAGAGGCGCACGTTCTCACACAACATGATGGAAATGAGCCATTCCATCAGCAAGCAAATTGAGAGCCTGGAAACAGAAATGGAGCTGAGGTATGGGGCCGTTTTGACCTTCAGACCCCTTCCCGCTTGTGGGCTTCACGGCAACTGGTGTAGAAAGGATGCCTGCCTCCGATGTGAGCGCGCAGGAGAGCTATTCTGGCCACTCACGGTTGGCAGAGGTCTGCTCCCAGAGTTCGTCTCATCTCCTTTCAAAGCTGTCCCCTTGGGGGCAGAATTCAAAGTGCTGGTTTTAACCTATTCAGCTCTAAACGGCCGGGGTCCAAGCTGTCTCAAGGACTGCCTCTCCCTTTATGAGCCTGTCCGGGTATTAAGATCATCAGGAGAGGCCTTTCCCTCGATCCCACCACCTTCAGAGGTGTTTCTGATGGGCACACAGGAGAGGGCCTTCTCTGTGGCTGCTCCCAGAGGCTCTGGAACTCCCTGCCACTGGAGGCTAGCCCGGCCCCATCTTTGCTCTCCTCCTGCAAGCAGATAAAAGATCTTTCTCTTCAGTCAAGCTTTCCCTGAGTGACTGGCTTGCCCG